TATTACTCACTGTAATGAACATATTATTGTAACTTCATCTTTATATCTATATCTATTACTATACGATCTATCTATCAATCTATCAATTAATGTATAATAGTAAGAGTAATGCTCCCCTACCCACGGTGGACACATGTTAATATGCCCACCGCTTATGTGATATTCATACATTGGTGATGTTAATATGTTCAAAAAAATATATCACCAATGTGTGAATGCCACATAAGCGGTGGTCATATTAATATGTGTCCACCGTGGGTAGGGGAGCATTACTGATAATAGTAATAGGGATTTATCTTTTTAGTATGTTATTTTTCACTCAAAATTTTCAGAGTGTATGTTGTTAGTATTTTTTTTTTAGTAAAATGGTGGCTATTTTGAAGATTCAAATTGAAATTCAAAAAATTTGTTATTTGAAAATTTTATTGTGTTAAACCTATTTCCTAAAAACATGGGCAGTTATTTCTTTAAATGGATATCCGATTTTAAGAGATTTGTTGCAATAAATTCAAAATCACTTTCACGTCCAATTAGACATCCTATTAGAAATTCGATTTTAAATAATTTCTGGTAATATATTCAAAATCACTTTCATATCCAATTAGACATCATTTTTACTATACACGAAATTTACTTACAAACTCTAAATCAATAATTATATACAATAATATGAACCAAAATTAAACTATAAGTTTTGGGAGAATCCCGCCCATGATTCTTTTTCATTTTTTTTTGAAAGAAATTAAATTCAAACATTTAAAGAAAAATATCCTAAATAGATTATTTTGGATAAATTTCATTTGATCTTGATTTTCATATAGTCACATTCCTAACAAACTAATTAATTTATATTTTTTTATCTACATTATCTGACTGATTTTTTTATGATATAATTAATATAATATCTTAACTAATTAATCATTTATCTAACTAGATTTATCTCTATAACAAACTTGCTAATTTTGTTGAAATTAAAATGGTATGATTGTTCTTACGAAGATACTTACCAATATATTAAACATTTAGAAACATTTTTTAAAAAAATGAGTTATCCCTCCTTTTACTTTATTTGAAATTCGAAGTTATATTTTTAAATATATCATTATTTATTTTTTTCTTACATGTAAATATTTATTATTTATTATCTAAGTGATAAATATTATTTTTTCTACGATTGTATTTTTTAATTTTAAAACTTATCGACCTATTGAACAATTTCCACAACATCAACTTTATTTTGTAATTGAACAAATTCCACATTGTTAGGGATGCATTTAATGATTTGACTTAATGTTTTAAACTATCTTCGATGCTATGCCAAATTTTTGATTTGTTTGATGGTCAACCTAATAATTGTTGTATGTAATTTTTGTTTTATTTGGAGAAAATTGTGAAATATAGAATATCAAAAAGTGAGAAGGGAGAGAAATTAGAAGGAATCAAGGAATCATTAAATTATGTTTCTATCTATAAATGATTGAACTCACTATTAAGGAAGTGACACGATTCAAACTAAAAATATACTTTATTAGTATACCTCAGAATGTAAAATAACTATCTACATAAAATAGGAATGAAAAAGGTAAACTTGAAATAAATATAATTTATAATATAGTTGGAAATTAGAAAAGTTGTCCAAGCGTGGGGCAATTTTTTTGGCGACAATAATCAGCATCCGCAGCCCAGGAAAGAAGCCCAACAAGGGAGCCCAGTAGAGTGAAACCCAATTTCCGCAGCCCTTTGTGCAGCCTGCATCCGGCCCCAGTCGGCCCGTGCTCCTCACAACGAGTAATTACCCAATAATCAAATTCATAATGTTGTGACAAAAAAATTTTAATAATATAATTTTTTTGGTGACGAACATTTATGATGAATAATGTTCATATGTATTAAACTCTCATATATCCTAATGCATGTCAAATTATAATATTCTCCAAATTTATATACTCGTGCATCGCACGGGATACGCACTAGTGTAAAATAATATATACTACATTCTTAGATTATGTGTGAGTTTATAATAATTGTGATAAGGTTTTAACTTTATCATCAATTATGTAGTAATAAAAATAATATACTACCTCCTTTTTAAAATAAATGTCGTTTTGACTTTTTTGATTCATCATTTTACTATGTATCTAGACATATTTATGTAATATATATAAGTAAGGAAAGAGAGAGATAAGTATATAGTTATATATGTAATATTTATTAACAACTATTTTATAACAGGTCAAATTGACTTCTAAATCATATGTTAAACTGTTATATATCATAATAAAATTAAAAAAATATTATTAAATATACAAAAATATTTTAGTTATTTTCATTTTTTTTTAAAGTCTATATTGAATTAGCTACCCCGAAACAATAATTTTAAATGAAGAGTAATCAAGTGGACCCGCTTTTGCACCGTCCCTCTGTCTCATTTATACAACTGATGAAGATTCAATAGTCCCTTCACATTCTCTCTCTCTCTCTAATCGGGCAATGTAATTCAGCCGGCGCCGCCAGTCCACCACCGCACCATGGGCCGGAGCAACCAAAATCACCACCGCCATCCTTCTCCCACCCACTCCCTCTCTTCCTCCTCCTCCTCCGACTTCGAGTTCACCGTCTCCACCTCCCCCCGCAAGTCCTCCGCAGCCCTCTGCCTCGCCGACGAGCTCTTCTACAAGGGCCAGCTCCTCCCCCTTCACCTCCCCCACCGCCTCTCCATGCTCCGCTCCCTTCTCCTCTCCTCCTCTTCCTCCTCCTCCGACTCCGCCGCCACCTCCTCCCGCGACTCACTCTCCTCCTCCGACTCCTCCTCCGCCGCCGCCACGGATCTGCTATCCGACTCCTCCCGCCCCAGCATCGACGAGCCCCGGTCCCCCGCGCCGACCGGCGGCTCCCTCTCGCTCAACCGCCACCAGAGGAAGTCGTCGAAGCACTTCTCCCTCCCCAAATTCGCATCCGTTTTCCGCAGGGAGACCACCAAAACCACGCCTCCGCCGCCCGCGGCTAAGCGCACGAGCGCCGGCGCGAAGGACGTCATCCACAAGTACTTGAAGAAGGTTAAGCCTCTGCTCGAGCGGCTCTCCGGCAAACAACAGCAGCAGCCCAAAATGTCTACTCGTCCAGTGGACGGCGCCGTTTGCCTGAAGAAGGCTTCAGATCCGGAATTGACGGCGGCAGTCGGCCCGAACCATCCGTTTGGGAAAAACTTGGGTATCGATTTTTTCTCTGAGTCATTTTCCGGCAATACGAGGTTCGCCGGAAGAAGAAGAAGATGCATCTCGAGCTGCCCCTCGTCCATAATGTCGTCTCCGAGGCGTGGGGATAGCGGGTTCGGGTATGTTGATCGGGTCGGGTCGGGTTGGGATGCTTCGTCAATGGAGGAGCTGCAGACTGCTATTCAAGGCGCAATTGCACATTGCAAAAACTCAATGTTGAATAGTGATAATAATAATAAGACAACTATGGTCAGTCATGAGATTTGAGTTCCATTTTAATTTCTATTTTGTGTAAAATAATTAATAATTCGACGTATTTGTTCAACTGATCTGATTAAATTCAATGGTTGATTAATCAAACTTTTATTTTCTTACTCGGACGGCTCGATAACCCTATGCGATTGAATCGCTTAATCTCAAGAGCGTTCATACTAAACAATCGAGAATTAACCGAAGAGCAGAAGTATACTTGATGGATTCATATTGTTTGATTTGATTCGAACTTGAATTTGGTTGGAAAATTTGGGATTTTGGAGATCTTCAAAAGATCATGAACCATATCTCTTCTTTTCTACGACGTATGAGAAAACTGAATGAAGAGTGCCAAGTAGAGCGACGGTTTCTTTCATATCCATAATAAAGAATCATTTGGACTTTCACGGTCCCTTTGTATTTTCACGGCTTTTGGTGAATTCACTCATTAATTATTTTGACTCAATATTTATTAATTAGGTCCTTAAGTTTAATATTATTATTTTCTATGTCACCAAATAATAATATTACTGGTTGTCCGCTTTTAATTATACCAAAATCTAAATTAAGTTCCTTAGTCAATATATAATAATTCGATAACTTAATTTGGCTAAATAATATAATGACCGAATATATTAATTACACGTGGTTTAATTCCAAAATAGATCTGACATTTCATATTCAATACTCTAAAATCTAAATTCATTGTGGTTTTTTGAATGAAATAAAAGAAGTTAATTTTGAAATTTTAAATGTTAGATCCCTTTGAAACTGATAGTCTTACAATTTATGTTGGCAATTGATTTTTTTTTTTTTTTTTTTTTTTTTTTTTTTTTTTTTTTTTTTTTTTTTTTTTTTTTTTTTTTTTTTTTTTTTTTGTCGTAGACATCCGTTGTTTTCTTTTATTTATCACTGCCTGAATTTTCTATTTTTGCGTTGATTTATATCTTCCCTCATCTATTATTTTATTAAAAATCTTCAACTTTATGATATTTAATACTTTATGATATTTAATAATTTAAATATAATGTGTATATATGTAATATTATAAAACTATAGGAAAGATAGTAATTACTTTACTATTTAATGTATATTTTATTTTATTTTCAATATCATTACAATGCTCAATCCCTCTGTAGAATTTACTTAAGAGCATCTCCAATGCTCTAATGTTGTTGTTGAAAAAATTTTGACAAATGTCAAAAAATTAAATAGATTGTGAATCATGTAGGACAAATGTTGAGTTCACAACTATTAAATTAAAAAATCATCTCCAATGCACAAAGTTGTCTAATTACAATAATATCTACTTGCCAAATAATAAAATTTTAGTATGAATTAATAAAATAAATTAAATAATTAAATAGTTTAAAAATGGTAGTAATAATTCTCTCTCTTCTTCTCATTGGCTAATTAGAATGTGGATGAACCACATTCTTCTCTACATTGTGGACATTAATTATGTCCACATCATCACAACATTTGTAATCACATTGTACATTGGAGGATGAAAAATTGTGATATTAATAAATGTGTTAATATTGAAAGTAATTTTCATCTACAACATTGAGCATTGGAGATGCTCTAAGTTGAGACAAAAGATTTCAGAATATATTTTATGTTAAATTTATATTCAGACTTTGTTTATATATTTTTTCCAAATTAAAATAAGTATTTTATGGCATCTTCATACAAATTAATTTTTTCTACTTTATAAGAAATTTATAGTTTCTTAGATATTTTTAGGTTGGTGTAATATAAATTTAAATTTTATTTATAATGATAATAGATATTACTATTTTGTATTTTGTACATGCAATATGGATTTCACGTCAAAGACATAAATTATTATTTATTTGATATATAATATATAAAAAATAAAATAAAAATAAAAAGTTGTAGAATTTTTAAAATTTAAAAGATGACATATTAGTAGTAATTAAATAAGAAAATAAATGAAAGAGAAAATATTTTATGGTAACTAATTGTAAAAAAAAAGGAAATGATCAATAATGGATTTAATGTAAATAATATAACTTTGTATAAAAATATTAATTTATATCCAAACATGGCTCCAAAACATAGTGTTTTGTCACATATGATCTCAAGCGGACGAGTCTGTCAGCTTAACACATTCGAAAATTATATATAGAATTAATTTATTTTGAAAGATTCTTATGAGTAATTTGAGAATCCTGCTTAATTATATTTATGTGATGAAAATGTAATGTTATAATTCATATAGAAATACTAGTGAATAATAATTAAGTGAGTGAGTAATGATTTTTAGAGTAAACTTTGTAATGAGTGATTTTTATTTAGAAATTAAATTATTAAAATATTGAGGTGAAAAATCGAGATAAGTAAATTGTATACTTAATAAAAAGAAAATCTCCATTGTAATGAATATCATTCTTTCATTCATATCAAAAAATTTAAATTGCTAGTCCAATTTTAAAAATATTAGTGCAATCATGTTCTCTACTTTAAATTCAAAGTATAAACATAAAATTTAATTTAATATAAAATCATAATTAAATTGAATAAAAACTATGAACAAAATAGAAGAAGAATTTAAAACAATTTACTATCCTTGCTAGTTACTAATAGGTACACCGAATAGCTAAAACTATAGATAATAATTCAACGCTATTAGGTTAGTTAGCGCTATAAATTATAAGGTGACTCCTTGACTATTGAAGTTAAGAAGTTGGGTACTTATTAGTTAGAATATTATAAAGTGAAATGTTACGGCCCGTTATGGAATCATTCTGTTGGGGTTTGTAACCGTTAGATCATCATGTAATAGTTGGAGATACTTGATTTAACGGCTACTAACACCGACGGAATGATTCCATAACGGAACAGTAAAATTTCCTTATTATAAGTGACTTTTATGCTTTACTTTTAGCTTTTAGTTAGTCTTGCACCAGCGCCATATTTTTCTTTAATATTAAATAAGTTAAAACTAAAGTTAATTTATATACAATTGTTCTAGTTTATCATATTTTTAATTGTATAACATATTCTTTTTTTTTTTATATTGAGTTAATTTACTACATATTGAAATAATTAAATTTATATTACCTGAATGATGAAAAATATATTAATATAGAACACGTGACTATTTCGTAAATTCAAACACTCAAGTGTAGATACATAGTGATATGAAAATCAGTAACAATATGGCAAAATAAAAATGAAAATGAAAAAAGGTACAATAACAATATTTTCAACGGTTTTGCTATCGTGTCATCGGATGGTTGGATTTACAGAGTCATCCATAGTTATTCATAAATCTATATATATAAAAAGAATTACCATTTTTAAAAAATAGTAAGTCAAATCTTTGTCAAAATCTTATCTGCATTAATTATATACTATTTATAGTCGTTTTAAATTTTTATTTTTAAATAAAATCATGGAGCATTTAATGCTGTTATCTTTTTATGGCACACAAAATTCGGCCAATATATTTTATGCACAACAGTTTGATGGAGAGATAACCATAAATCAGAACACATCCGATTAATTTGTATCTTATTCTGGTGGATAGGTACACATATAAAATAAAATAAAAAATTGATGTATGAAAAGATGGTTTTATAAATATAATATT